CAAAAAGGTGACATCACGTATATAGCAGAAGCAGTGAAAAACGACTGAAGGGGTAGGGAGTAGTTGGTCGTCCTCTTCCTCCAGCACACCCTATAACTATCATTGGTCCAGCGGGACATGAGTTCAAGGTGACAGAACATTCTTGAATTCTAATGTCTAACCAAAGACTTGCCAATTCGGCCTAGCCAAATCAAACAAATTCTCAGCTTGGGCCCCAAAGACTTACCAATCAATCCTGGTTGCCACTGGTAAGTTGCTCATTCCAATCTGTTGCTGATTCTAGGCTTGTAATCCACCTGCATCTAGTCTACTGCCATCCCGTCGACCTCAGGCAAACTCGACACTCGACAAGTGACGGCTCAGCTGGAAGTTGGTAGTGCCATCCTCGGAGCGAGCTGATTGTCATCCGAGTGGAGGGACATCGCCCGCAGGTCCAAGGTCTGTCTTACACGTCTTCGACGAACCAAGTCACCGCAACATGGGCCAGTGGATGGCCACTGGAAAGACCATGCTCCAGTCTTACCAAACATGGTGTTCCTACTTCCGTGTTAGTGAGTCCAAGGTCATAGCTCCTTAATTAAAACCAGAAAGCACACATATACCTTGCACCGCCTGAAGGAAACACTCATGGATAATTAGTCATGAGGTATTTGCATGACTCTCATGGTTAACATTGAACTTACACACCAGGGGTTGCATCTTTCCCGACAGTCCAACCCCATTGTTACATTGTTGAAATCTTGCCACAAATGCCTTCAGATTGTGCACAGCTTCGGAGCAAGTGATGAACACATTGAACAGTTGAGTAAAACAAAGGATGGTTGACTCTTGAGAGCCTCATGTATGACTCATGTTTTCATGTCGATCATCCGTCTAGGAATTATGCCAAGCATCTCGATTCAACATCAAATGCCTTGAGGTATTTTGCTTCCGCCAGGAGTGCAGACGCTCGGCAGAAGGTTGCGGTTCGATGCTCTCCTGAGGGCTCTCCTGCAGAAAAGAGAATTCCAGCAAAAAGCTGTGTCAGTAGGCTAGGGAGAACACCCAGGGATACAAGTCACTCTAAATTCCCGAGAGGAAGGCTTCCGCAAACCCTTGATGGCGCCAAGTTACAAACAGTGAGGGGCCGCTATGTACTAAAGGGCCTGGCTTGGTCCACCAAAATCCTACCGGTCATAGTTTTTTCAAGTCCAGGTACGACCAATTGTACCCCTGACCCCCAGGCCGTTTCCCTAGAAAAATCAAGAACTAGCATCTCTTGCCAGTTCCTCTCAAGAGTCCAGAGCTTGGAGCAAATGGCCCAGAATCTACAGAATCTTCAAGTTCCAGCCTTTCAGATCCTTCCTTCATCTTCCTTCCATGCCCAGAAGAATCTCAACCATTCTTATGTCAAAACTCTGGGTTCATCCCACTTCGTAGCACCCCATTCCCCACTCCCCAGGCTCCTCTAAAGTCTGTGTGAGCTTTTGAGCCTCAGAGGTCACCTCCTTCTTGTCGAAGGCGCTTCGGACCTCAGCTTCTCATTCTTAGCTTCCAGCTCTCATTTCAGCTCCCGGCTCTAAATGATTTACTGTAGATTGGTTTCAGAGGTCAAACATGCACAGACCTCAAGATGTCCACAAATGGGGTCCATAGAAACCACAGACATGTGGGGCGGGTCTGTGCCAGGCTGCAGTGGGTCCCACTTCTCCCCCTCTCCCATGCTCTTCCAGGCACGATGAGCAAGCGATTGTCAGGCACCTGGATCCTCTTGTTGTTGCCACTCTCCTCGGCAGTGAAGTAGCACGCCACCAAAAACAGAAACCATTGATGCCATGGACAAACAACATCAGCACTCAAAAGTCAAAGACTGCAAGCCAAAGTCACAAAAATACCGTCAGTTCCAACCGCTGGCCCCCCAGCAAGCCCAAAGCAAATCCCCACCCTGGCCCACCCTCCAACAATGACACCACATTATCGGCCAGCTAGCTGCGCAAGGCGCAAGTCCTGTATCAATATAATTCCCGAGTTTCCAAAAAAAAAACAAGAGACCACTCCAAAAGATTCAAAACATATCACTCCACCATACAACACCTGGTGTGATATGGTTTGATCAGGAAGTAGGCATCAAGTCTCATCAAACGACCATCACTCGTTAAACCTCCGCCCCACTCATTGCGCCGCAATAGAAAAACACACCGAGCACTCCCAGGGAGCGCATCACTCACGGCACTCGCACGGGAGGACGAGGGTCCCATTTGGCGTCGGCACCTTGTTCGTTGGCCACCACCAGCTTAAACTCAATGTCCTGCAAATGGCCAGGCCGCGGAAGTCAAGGCGAACTCCAACTGAGGCGGAACCAAAAACATGCAATAGAAAACACAATGGAACCCCGTCCTCGCCAAAAACGAATGACTGAAACATGTTCTGGATTTCCTGTGTTTGGGGTGTAAGACAGCACCAAGACAAGACTTTGGTCGACCACATCCAAGAACAAGGATTCAAGGGGTTCAGAGTCCTCTCAATGGCCATGTTGAACAGCAAAGTCCATTTGCCCGATAGGGCTGAAACACGTTCAAGCATGACGGGCCGCCAAACCACTCACTGGCAACGAAACGAAGAAAGAACCACTCGACCTGTCAGAGCAACAAGTGTGCTTTGGCGCTTGTACCGCACTGCGCCGCTCGCGAAACGGAATCGCCTTGGAGGATTTGAGCACCACATCGGGGGAGGTCCACATCGGAAAGCTTTGGGCCGTTGTCATGCAGGGCACGCCTGACCAAACAGGACGCATGCGGCATACACACACGCCGTGGAAATGCGATTCAACAAGGCTACTGTATTTAGACGAAAAGAACCGAGGTTGGTCACTCAACACCCCCAAAAATACCAGGCGGACTGTTCTACTCACCTGTGACTTCTCAACCACGGACGGCCTGAAACGGATTTAAACGGGACATGGGCAACTTAGTGAGTCGACTCTGATTTCCTCCAAGCCGCAACACAGCAAAGGCGGGATAGACTCACACCATCACACACCCTCAATATCCCTCATGGCTGGGTCCTGGGAGTGTAAATTGCCTACAGGACTCTTCATGACTCTGCATCTCATGAGATTTCCTGCAATGGGCTGCCGGATGCCTACAGTGGCCTACAGGACTCCCAAAGAAAATGTTCATGAGTCATACAGCAAGGAGAAAGACATAAATCATTGCAGGCCATTTTGGGCGAAGGGACACGCATGGAAACACTGTCACCGACCCAACACCTGATAGAAGATCTGTTAAGCTATAAAAGGCTAGAGGGGAGACATGAAACAACTCCTCTTGTCCTGTCTTCGTGCTACCAGTAACCCTGTCACTTCCCTCCTTCCAACCGAAAACTACCACCGGGTCCGTCTCTGCAAGCCTGACTCCACTTTCCATGATCCCAACTCGGGCACATTGCCGACCACATACACCGCCTCAATCATGCCACTTCTTTCGGGGTCATGGTGAGCTCATGGTGAGTCGACTGAGAGCTCTTAGTAGTGGGTACTCACATGGTCTATGAGTTGACCTACTTAATTAATTACAGCGCTTCTCCCTGGAGTGGTGAAAACCAACAACTTGCCCGATTCGGATCCTTTATATGATTGCTTACAATGTTGTTGTGAATTGAGAATAGACCTTGACGCGTCCCCCCTCCACTTTCAATCTTCAAATGCCGGGAGGGGTGTAACATGTGGAACGATTCGTTCCAATCCCCCTCAGCTTTTCCTGAGTCTCAGGTTGCCTCTGTAAAGACAGCCCCTGGAGTCCATGCGTATGACACTCCAGTCTAGGACCGGAGCAAAACACAGCAGCAGCAGCAGCAGGACTCGAAAAGGCCGAACGACCCACCGTGAACCGCATGCCAGCCATGCTGGATCTACCAAAGATCAGCTTCAAACTCGTCAACCCCGCCAAGGCAAGGATGGGCAAGGGATCCTGATGACTTGACTCACGAGTCTTCGCCTTCATCCTGGAACCTCCCACTGAGGTGGAAAAAACCATTCGCTCCGTCGAGGGGAGCCATCGCTCCCCTTCAGCATTCCCCTCAATCGCCTGCCCAGGCTTCGTGCGCTTGCACTCCACGCGGAACTGCAGCATCGACATGGCGGCAAGAGCGGTGCGCTGGAGTCTTCCGGGTGCCAGTAGAAGAGCCTTTTGGAAGAGACATGGAAGCTCTGACACCCCCAGAAGAATGCAAAAGAATTGTTAAAGATTTTGGAAAAAGTAACATGGGCTCTTGAAAAGATGCATGATGTAACACACTCAAAGATTGATCAGTCTTCTTAGAACCCGTGGTTCATGGAGGCCATTTCGTGTGCGAGTGCTCATTCCTGGAGTCTGAAGTGGTATCGCACATTTCTGGGGGTCAAAATTCTATATCTTGAAGAGGTGCAGTGCCCCACTTCAAAAGCCTCAAAAGATGCATTGGTCGGGTTCGCTGTCCCAACACTCTGAGCGTTCTTGCAAGCCTTGTGCAAGCTACAGTAGGGCAAAAGGGTGTTGGCCAAGTCTGGGTCAAGCTGGATCCATCTGATCATGATTCTATCTCAACTCTTCCTAGGCTGCAGTCATTGATCATCGCGGCAATGGCGGCGGAGATCTTCATGTCCCACGAACTACCACATGCTTTCACCCGATGTCCCTGGGCTTTGGACAATGAAAAGTCCAACGCGGGGGAAATTCTTCAGGCCAGTTCGTCAAGTTCACAGGAGCAGGCTAGCTTTCATTTCGCAGATTGCCATCGGCCTGATGAAGATGTCGTTCGAACTTCCATTAATCATTATATACGTATACTTCAAGCATATGGCTGTGAGGCTGTGAGTCAAAACATTCTGAACCAAACCACACAGGTGCCTGGCTTTGACCCGGAGCCATTTTCGGGGGTCACACCAGTTCTTGAGGTTCATGGGCATTGACACTCAGTGGTTCTTGGACGTTGCTAATGGCATGTCAGGCTGGCCAGGGAAAGTTCGTGACTGAGTGCCACACTTCGGATGTCCTCTGAGACCTGATGCCTCCAGAGGCGGAGGCAGAACTGAACTGTCTGTCCGGAGGACCCCCTCGAGTCAACATCCAGTGCGGCTTTTTTCCGGTTTACGGATACATAGGGTCCTATACGTAGTATACACCAACCAGACAAATACATATAATACCATATGTATACCAAACAAATGCGTATTATACGTAGGATAGTAAGTATACGTAGTATGCAGATAATAATCAGAAGTTCTGATACTCAGCATTTGGATCATCCAGCATTTGGCAATTGGATGAACATGTATGCCGTCACACTTTGCAAAAAAGCCAGCGGCCACAAACCGTGCACAGGATTGTAGGCCTCCAGCGAGAACCGGTCAAAACAAAGCTCAATAGTACTGAATGTTTAAGTGCTGATATGCCTATAACATCCTATAATAGTTAATGTTGTTGATCAAAAACATGTAATGAACCCCTATTTGGAGATGTAGAACAGTCAACATTTGGAGGGGTTCCTTCATCAGCATTACTTTAATGATACAGGCTCTTGATCAATAACCCCCTCGTTTGGTGAACCTCTTCATAGGGTTTGTTTATTACTCAACGGTCAACATGAGAACATATAGACCCCCAAATAGATAGAAAAGTAGATCCCCACTAATTACCTATATGTTATATTTTTGTAACTGTATTGGAAACCATTCCAATCCATTTGGGGATCACTATACTCAATACATGTCATCGCCTGGTCGCCCACCGGTCGCCCACCCCGCGCGGTGCTAAAACCGCGCCTGCCCCGCATGGACTCGAAGCGGCAGGCCTTGCAAACCTGGAGATCGGCATGGTGCCCCCCACTGGGCGGGTGGCAAGTGATGAAAGTTACAGACCTCAATCCATCTATAATGTTATAGATCATAGTACTTCTATACAAATCATTAGGTACTTTCTGACCTACTGAGTCTGGCTGGGGAAAAGAACCCATTTGCCCATCATTGGGCATTCTGCACATTTCCGGTTCCGGGACCCCCGATTTTGGCGCCCCTGGCAGGCCTTGTCGCATGCCAGGGCGTCGCCAGCCAAATATGGGCTCAACGTACGTTAAACTCACAAATGTTGGGTGAGTCTAATTGGAGTTAGGTGAGTCTAATCAAGGTGAGTCTAACTCCAGAATCCTTAAAATTGGAATTAGGACATCCCCAAACCACACCACTACAGCAATTCTTTTGCCATTGGGCTCCAAGACCGCAAAGAGCCTGGCCAATGGATCTTCATTTCCTTTTCAATTGCGGAGGGTCTACCAGTAGGCAAGCAAATATTCCCTCAGTCGAAGGCAGGAATTTAATTGCAGTTCATCCCTCAAGCACAGTAAGTTGATGGGAGAGGCGGGGTTGTACAGTTTGCACGGTCGCAGTGCTTAACCACATCTACACACTAGCTGGATGATCATGAAAAAGCCAAGCATTGCTTCTATATTTATCCTTGTACTGAAAGCCGTAACCGCCACCATTGGAAAAAAAGAACATCTCCTCGGTTGGAGGGTCTTGGCTTTTGGATGGCCACAGCACATATAGGTCCACCACTAGATCCACCCGAATCCACCCCAACTGCTTTTTCCTAAAGATTCTAAAGACGAACCGAGTGCCCACCGCGCTGACCAGCTCGCGCCGTGGTCGCAGCCGCCTCGTCCACTTGCGTTGAGCCGAGCGATGTCTGCAGAAACTCGGCGACCTCCGCGACGCTCTGCCGCAGGTTCGCCTCACGGAGGCCGGTGGCGGGAGATCGGCCGGAGGCCGGTCATGGCGCGTGGCCAGCGGGAGATCGGCGGGTGTGGTGTGGCTGACAAAGACGGAACCAACAGCTCGAATCAAGGGCTGAACTCTCACAAAAAGCATCCTGGAGCCACCGCGAAAGCATACATTTCAATATCAATTCATGAGTATAGTGTACGATTTTTGGAATAAGGATACTGGCAGCTTCTAGCGTGGTCGATCACCGCATGTCACTACACCACTACGCTATGTCACCACGCTACTGGGTGCCACACTTTCATCTCCTCGAAGTAGAAAATGCCTCCAGTGCGTGGCAGTTCAACAGCGGGGAGATGTGCACGCTTCATGTGACTATGACAAGGCTTTTGATTGGCTTCTAGTGGTTTAAGTATGTTTAAGTATGTAACAGTTATACCGTGATCATCCGATGTTAACACCTTGTCTTCCACATGCATGTTCCGAGCTGAGCACCTGCTTCTCCCGATCTCCGAGAGCCCCGGCGGATCCGTTGGGGATGGCGCTGCGCCAACGTCCACCTGCACGGCTGAACGTTCGTCGTTCCACCGGTAGACAGCGGTGAAGAACGGGGATCCGTGGAAACCACCCGATCTAGGAGGATGGTGTGATTTTCATCACTCAAAGCCGATTGCATGTGCGTCAAGATGCATGATTCACTATATAATTAGTAGATCCACCCAGTTCACTTTCCTCGGCCTCATCTCCTCTCAACCACATGTCGCCTATACTTGGCGTCGCTGGTCTTTCTATCGGGCTGAAGCCGAGCTCAACTTGTCTTTGTTGATCTTGAATTCGAACTCATCCGCATCCTGAGCGCCCCTCACCAGCCCTTCACATGCTCGAAATAAGAGCCGCCATACTCCTGCGACCTGCGATGCAATGTCGTCAATGCATAACTTTCATGGAAAGGAAGACCATGAAATCCACTACAAACAGGTGGTATTCTACTTCCATTTTAGTTCTAGGGAGTACTCATCTTCGGCCCACATTGGACCCCACCAAAAGCAAAACGTTGGGCTGGGAGGGGCCCCGTTTCACCAGCGAGGCCTGTCGCCAGCAATCCATTGCCTCACCCATTCGTCCCAACCTCATTCGCCCGGCAGGGCTGACTTGAAGTCTTTTCACCCTGATGGTTCAGACATCAAATTTCTTATATTTGCACAACAACCCTTGTTTCACAGACCCCCGCTGATTGAGTTCTTGCGAAACCTTTTTCTTGTGTTCTTCCCCAGGTCTGAGGACTGCGCAGCTGTCGCAAAGGCTCTGGGAGAGTCATGGGTTTTAACTGACGAAAAAGAACTACTTCCAGTGAGGTGCTTCACAGGTGTGACATCGTTCTATCTCTTAACCCAAAATCCCACCCACCTACATCCACACACCTACCCCTTTCCAGCTGCCCATTCTCGTATCACTACACTCAGAGCGTGGCTGCCCGTCCAGCCGATCGCTGGGTTATTGGCATGGTGATGCCGCAGGGAAATCAGCGCATCCTGGATGACCGGATGACGCGCGTGGTGTCGCGCGGAGACGTTGCTGCGCTGCCGGGTGTCCAAATCAGGTGGAGATGCGTGTGGTCTTCTACGGTGGCCATGACTTGATAGACTGAATTAAGTAGAGCTCTTTAAAGATTTCGGGTCGTATCTAATTAGACCTCTGGAAACTGAAATCCACCCTCAAGTTCACCAGCTAGCTGCTTCCATTGGGCATAACTTCCCGCACTGAAGTGGTGCTATACGGCTAGTAGTATGTATAGCTATCATGCGCGCCATCCGTGCAACCCAGCTATAGGTCCGTCACACGATCCGCGCCTTGGGGTTCCGCACCACGTAGATCACCTGCGGAGCGAGCGATTTCCATCATCATGACGTAGTCCAAGTAATTGGCCCCAAGGAATGTGGAGAGGACCTCCAAGTGTCCAAATCCGATCAATCTCACAACTTTGAAGTGGTACACCGATGAGGTTGGGGGTTTTGTTGGGGGCTCAATGTGTTCAAGCACAGTAGCCGCTTGTCATGGCTTCTGCATTCTGGCGGCAAAAGTTTGCACACGCTCTGCACATCAAACGCCATCCTCAAATGTCGGAACTAGGCGTGGCACCACCCTCCCACCCACCCTGCTCACACCCTATGGAGGTGGAAGCATGGTGCAATGATTAACCATGAAATTCCTTTCAGACCAAAGGCGCCTAGTTCAAGGCTGTCTGAAACGATAATGGGCTGGTAAGTTCTTCAACTGCAACCATCGGACCGAAGCCTGCGAGGAATGACCACGGAGGGCTGTCGTTCAACATGCAGTACAGTTCTGTATAAAATATATCTGCCAGATGGGTCCAGGTGAAAGAAAAGGTCCTTGAAGCCATAGGGCTCGACACACAGCCTTGAACTAGGGAGATCCTCTTCGCCACTTTCCCAACTGTGAGAGCTCCCACCCAAGGCCTTCCCATGTTCCTGGAGAATCTCTTCCTCTCCATGCGCCAGGCCCGGATGCCTCACTTTGGATCTCTCGCAGGTGGAGGGACCATTTTTTCGTTCGATGCTGTAAGATTCACTTCGTTCGATCACGCCAGTTTGGGCCATGGCCCCCCACATGTACAAAAATGAAAGAAAAACATTCGACTCCCATTGAACATGTCTTGGGAAATACCTCATCTCTTTGTCCGAACACCTGCCACAATAGTCTATATATAGGAGTCATACCTATCTGAATCTCATGTGCCATATGCTCTTGCAGTACCGGGTGGGACCACTGGTGGGACCCTCTCGACATCCACATCGACCTCTATTCGGCTCTGACTTCGGAGCTCCGGCTCCCCTTCGTCTTCCCTTTGTGGAGACCCCGTTCATCTGCAGACGAAAGGGCATCTCCGCAGGCACATGGCTCTTGAAGAGCCTCGGCCTCGGCTTGTCGCTCCAGGCTTCCATGTGCTGCACCTGGCAGCGTTCGAGAATCGGTCGTTCTTGGCGGGAGTGGTTCTCGGTGGCGGACTTGTTCCGCGTGGCGAGGGAAGCGTGGTTGGTTCGTTCCACATCAGGTTTCGAGGTCTGAGGGGAGACTGGCATGGCAAAACCATGGCAAAACCTGTTCCAATCTTGGAACCTACAGACTTACTTGCCTCAGGACATGCCGCGGTCTGAGAGTGCGGGAAAGTCCTGGACTTGATGAGCGCCAACCAACCATGCCAGTTTGCGCATAGGCGGCGGAGGAAGCAATACCTGAGGGTGGAGCAGCAGTCACAAAGCAGATCGATGATTGATCTGGGGATGGAAGATTGCAGCAACGCTTGTGACAACGCCCGCGAAAAGCTCCAAGACTAGGCGAAGGACAAAAGTCGGCATTTCGGTGATGAATCCCGCAGGAAAGCCAATCAACCTCACCGACCCTCACTCGCACCAGGAATCAACTATCTCCAAATCCAAAGGTGAGCAGCCTACCTACCTTGGAACGATGGCGCCCACATCCGGCGTTGGCGCGCACCGACCGTCCACGTTCGGCGCGCGCGGAGCCGGGATCAGAGTCGGACTTCCCTCCAAGAAGAGCGCGTGGTCTTCCTGAGAGCCGCGTGGTCGGTCTGGGCCGGTCACTCTCGGAAAAGGATGAAACATGTACAGACCAAAAACCCAACGAAAATGAGGTTAACCCACCAAATGAACAAGCCCACCAAACGCCGAAATGGTCTTCAAACAGCAGAAATGCCAGGTCTTCAATCGGTCCATCATGATAAGCCAAGCCGTCCACGCACAGTCTAAATCAAGAAGTCCGGTCGATAGAGCGGCCCCTGGTCTGGGGTTGTCGATCCAAAACCACGTCGTGGCCGAGCGCGGCCATTCATTCGGATCCTCCGAAGCGTGCGCTAGATGAATGACACGTCGAGTTCTTTTCTGTGCGGGATCTGCTGCATGGAAACTCACTCTGACTCTGGCTGGCAGGAAGATTGCCTCACATGGGCACATGCTTAGCCTGAAGAGCGATCCAGTCCGTCCACTACACGTGCCATCAGCGCTCAGCTGAGCTGTTGTGTGAAAGGTGTGTGTGTATGTTTTTTTTCAATCACCCCCGCTAATTCATGATGGAAAAGGTCTTTACCAACAAGCGCACCTTCTGCAAGGTTGCTGTTGTATACCAACATGTTTGCCATTCGGCCACTCATCATGCTGCGGCAACCATCATGCATGACGTGGTTCGGATGTGTTATAGTCATGTCCTTCCCCAACAAGAAAAATGAAGGCCATCGCATCTTGTTCCCCACGGCAACTCATGGGACATCCTGTCCTTGAGCTTTGCGCAACTTGCCTCTGGTTTTGGCACAGGAACGTCCCGAAACAACCCGGATCTATGGGAAGTGGGACGCAGAGCTCTTAGCTCTGCACGAAATGTTCAATTTGCACCACAGGAACAAACGCCGAGTCTCTGCTGCGCTGTGCCGGGATATGTCCAAACAACGCGACACTTCCCTAAGGCCTCAGAATCTTCCCTAAGGCCTCAGAAGAGCAACGTAGCCTCGAGGCCCTCTGGCAGCAAGTCCCGCAACTCACCTCGTTCCTCCACGTGGATAGCGCCTGCAGCTCGCAGCGGCGTATGCAGATGGGTCGACGCTTCGGCGGCCGTTGCCGCAGCGCCATGCATCCACATGAACAAATGCATAGTCATTGCGCTACCCGCCCAAGAATAAACACCCCCAGAAAATTACATATCAACAACAGTCATTAAGCCGCATATTTCGCATAGTTTCCCCGTTCCCTTCCTACTTTTGGCCCCATGGTTTCAACGCTTCAACTGCCGCAGTCGAGTCGTTGCTCCGGCTTCTGCCAGGCCACAGCCACGGACGTCCAGGAGCAGCGCCGTTAAGCTCTGAGGCAAGGCCTCCAAGAGCCGCAGGCAGCCGACGGAGGCAATGCGGCACCGGGAGAAGTCCAAGTGACAACGCTCCTAGCGACGGAGCCGCGAGCGCGAGCGTGAGCGAGCGTTGAAAGGGTAGGGCATGAAGGCACCGGATGGCGAGGAGGGGGTGGGTTTTTAGCAAGTTAGCCTGGGGGAGGTGGATGGAGGTGTTGCAATTATGACATGTATTCATTCCATAAGAAGATATGCACTGTAAGAAGAAACTGTTGGGCATCTTTTTGGTATCTTTTGGTTGTCAGCTGAGCGAGATTCAGCTGGTGAGAAAGATCAACCTGAACCTTCATTTATAGCCGCCATCGAAGCAAATGAAATAACCAAACAATTCGTGGAACAGCGAACTTGAAAAATGCAACAAATGATACCGAAGGCGAGAAAGAGCACAAGATCGAGCTGAACCCAACCTCGCCAGGAACCCAACAGCGCCAAACGATGCAAAAACCCTGGGGACAGCCGACAGCGTGTGTTCAAAGGGCCTTCCGAAAGGACCCCGGCTTTTCCGGGAAAGCCCTGAATCACATGTGCCTCCCTGTGCGCACTTCACTTTCTCTGCTCTGAGACAGCTGGGTGACTGCCAACAGATCTAGACAATGACATCAGTCTTGGCCAAGAGACCTCGCATGGTTGCAAGTTCCAATCACACCTTTGCTGCCTGGTCAACAAGGCGTGCAAGGGACCCTGGTCAACCAAGGTTTCAACACGTAGGTGTCCAAATTTGTGGCGCTCTGATCCAAGTCTGAGACCTCCTGAAGTCTCTTTCGCCAAATCTGATCTTCCAATGGCCCGGGATGTCTCAATGAAAGCTTCTGCTGCAAGGCAAGAAGAACATGGTGTTGCCAAAGAAGGCCGTGAACCGACGACTTTCCGGTTCCCGCCGGAAAGCCGTGAACAGCGGCCACTCAAACCCGCACGATGCCTAGCAGTGCGCACCTGTGCGGGCCCTGATCGTAAGCAACTGCGCTGACCGTCTTCCAGGATTTGAGTTGAATGCCGAGGGCATCATAGCAGCCAATGCGAAGGCGGGGTGTGCGCTTCTGAGCGTGGGGAAGCCCAAACGCACGGAACATTCGGTACATGCCGTGTTTTCGACCGGTTTTGACATGCCCTTTGGATGCAACGTCGGACCTCCGAAAGTCCGATGCTCGTTGTATCATTATTTGGCCCCAAAAAACATGTTGTACATTTTTGGAGCATATTATACAATGATATTGAACCTGTCCTATCGCTGCACTGGCTTCTCCCGGAACCCTCGAAAGCTCTCTCAGCCCACTCACCTCCCCGCGCTCCACGCGCGCGCGCGGCTCCAGCAGAGTCAGCTCCCGAAGCCCCTTCGCCAGGGCAGTGGCACCCTCGCGGCCCACGCTGCAGCCGGAGAGGCCCAGCCACAAGCGTCGCAGGAAGGGCGGCAAATGGCGAGCTAAAGCTGAGGCACCTGGAGGAGGGGTGCTAGGACGGACTAGTAGAGTCTTCTAGGAAGGTTGAACAAGGAGGAAGGGACTTAGCGGAAATGGTTGGTGGAAGGTGAGGGTGAAGAAGGACTCAGGCCAAATTCGACAAGCGAAATGGTCTGTGATGGTGATCTGTGAGAGTGTCAATGGCAAAAGATGCAAAAGTATGCAAAAGTAACGAGACTTTGCCTTGCAGGCACAGCCTCCGTCCAAAACCCGACCCTACAAGTCCAAAGACCCAGAAAAACCTGGTCCTGAAAACCGAAATTTGAGCGTTTGGCATGATATGCCATGATCAAATCCAATAAAATGAGGTCTTTGACACCTCGAGGCTGTGTCTTCCCACAGGCCCACCTTCTGCCTGGACGTTGCACCAGTCCAAATCCAAGTGGAGCACCTGCATGTTGGAGGTGGGGGTGGGAGAAAAATAGCCCGAAGAAGGTTCGGCCGACGGGGTCGGTGACAAGAACAAGCAAACACACAGATACACAATCGACTTGAATGCATTAGGACTAGGAACCATCAGCCCCTTGGCAAGCCTCCCGGCCATTGCGCTGGCTTGGCTGGCTTCCAAGTTCTTCCAAGCTAAAACTAAGCTTCCCTGCTGGGGTGCTCACCGGGAGCTCTGGGGCGCAACTACCAGCACATGGACAGGTCTAAACCCAAAATGCATTATAAAAGCATCCAACAGCAAAGCTTCGACGTAAACCTGAACGCCTCACGGATTCCCTTCTCCCCAACCCTTCCGAACGGCCTACCTCCAGCTGCTGCGGCAAGGCCTCGGCCATCGCCCGCGCGCCGGCGCAGCCCAGCGCGCAGCTTTCAAAGCCTGGCGGGGAGGCCCCCCCCGCTGCCCGACCGTCGGACTCATCGCTCGTGGAGGCGTCTCATGGGGCTCGCGGAGGTTTTGGCATCCACAAGGCGGCCGGAAACAGTGCGGACCCGGAGGATGGCTCCGCCGGGTCCAAAAGGATGAGGATGCGCTCGAGACGGTGGTGCCGGCATGCTGTTTTGCAGATTGTGAGGGGTCCAAAGGGTGAGTGAGGCTCAACAAAAGAATGGAATTCACAGGCACCGGATTCGGGGACTCACCAAATGGGTGCTGGAGAGGCACTCTGAGAATGGGTTTGGGTATGTTTGGGTATATTGGACAAGAAAGGGGTTAAGAAGGAGTTCTCAATTGCTGAAAAGGTCGTGGATCTTGGGGGGGCCTTTGTTAAACTCCGCCCATCCAAACCGACCCGCCTAAGTGGAGGATCCGTAGGCTCTCGTGAGGCAGCTGCGACATGATCACCTGCGTTCACCCAGTCTCCGGTCACTGGAGACCGGACTCGGGCAGGGCGCAACAAGCGGTGCTGGACCGTGCTACCACCGGATGGACCGAATGGATCATGATGGATCCAACATGCGAGGCCCCTTGCTATGACCCATGACCCTCTGGGTGAGCCCAGCTGAGCCAGAGGATCAAATGGATCAGTTCAGCTGAGGCCCAGGTCGTCCACCAGCTGAGCCCTGCAAAAAGTGCTTTCGTCTGCACGAATGCTCCACACCAATTCCAGCAAGCCAGTCATCCAGGTGAAACAACCCAGCCAAAAAATAAAAAAAAAAAAACAACCTAAACCTCCAGGCCTTGCAATCCATGGCCGCCATGTCGCAGCCGCCCACCTGCAAGCGCAGCTGTTGCAGGCTCTCCGCCTGCTGCAGCTGCTGCGCCAGGTAGCGCAAGCCGATCCCCGGAAGGCGACAGTCCCGGAAGTCCAGCCCAAGCTCCTGCAGCGCGGCTCCAGCGGGTTCAGCACTCAGTCGGGGCGGCGCCCGGAGGCCGATCTTCCCTGAAGAAGTCCGACGCGTGACGCGCTCGTCGATGCCGAAGGGTAGTGGTGGTGGAGGCATGTTCTTCTCCCAGATGGTGTGAAATCGGGTCAGAAACAAGTGCTCGGGGCCAGGTTTTGCGGTAGCCGCCACAGAAGTTGGGCCGCCGGTTGTTGCTCACAGGATTCAACGGTCATCTCAATCTGAGTGTTGAGGCCGCCGGATGAAGATGAGAGACACTGCCCTGTTGAATCTTCAACGACATGTTCAAGTTGTCCACGTTCTTCAACATCTGCTTACTTGGGCTTGTCCCTTTGGAACTGTCAGACCTCTCCCCCAAAACGAAACTGCCACTTGAGAGCTCCAGACCCCTGTGCCGGACAACTGCTCCCGCCAAAAAAACTGTCCTTCAGCTGCTTGGGCAAATGCTCGGCAACGGCCTTGACCCCTCGGCCACCGATGGGGCAACCTCTCAAAGTCAGATAAAGACTCTCCTTGGCGCCGGAAACCGGACTCCGCTCTCAGAACATCAAGCAGAACCGACCTAAGTAAGGGAAGTGTAGGGTACTCGACTCATTGTTGAGGGGTCCATGGTAGTAAAACCAAAAAGACGTGCTTCTTCGTTCTGGTTGTTGGGAGGTTTTGACCCGCTTTTCGTTCCAATCAGCAAAACCAAAGCCTATATCAGCAGGGTTCAGCAGGGGCTTCACTTAAGACCTCAAACACGTTCTTCATCGCAACCCTCTCATAGATTCATGTCATTTTATTTCCAACTCCCTCCCCTTTCCCCCCTCATTCCCCCTGCCCCGCGGCCAACTCCGGTGGCATCCGCTCGGCGAGCGCCGTGGCGGCGGCCTCGCCCAGTCCACATCCACGGAAGGCCAGCTGCAGCCGCCGCGCGCCGCGCGGCAAGTGACGCGCCAACAGCGTGGCGCTGTCGAGCCCGAGGCCTCGAGCTGCGGAGCCGAGAAACCAGGGGGGTCGGCTTGGTAATATTGCTTGAATAGCTGGATGACTGCAAATGGAGCAGGCGCGGACCCAGAGCTGCTGGGAGCTTTCGAAGATGTGTGCTGCTTGACGCAGGTTTTTCAGCAGCTCAGGGACAGAACATGGCGGACCCATCGGATTTCGCACACTGATACGGCAAGCGAGAAGGCACGAGTGCTGGAGAAGGGTTTCAGATGGTTCCAGTGACTGAAGGCATTGGGTGATGATGAGTGGGGGCGGCCGAACATCAGCATAACTGAGCACTTACAGCAGGCTCCTTGGATGAATATGTGGTCCTTCGAGGTGGCCTATGCATGTGCCATCCTGTGCCCTATGCTTCTCCCAGATCTCAATCTGCCAAGTAACGCAGTGGACCCCCATCGTTCGCATGAAGCGAAGCCGGAATGCTTCGTTGAAGACGTCCGTCTCTCTCTCTCTCTCCTGGTGTGCTTGGACGGATCGCGATCACCCACGTCTCCCAAACCGAGGTGCTACACCAGCGGAAGCGCAGGCTGAGGCTGGGCAGGTCTGGCGGCATCTTGGAGACCAAGGGAGCCATGCCACGCGCGAGATCGCAGCTGATGAATCTCATCTCCGAGGCAAAGGCCTGCAAGGGGACTCAAACCGAGGGATTCGAGGGGTTCGGGGCGACGGTGTGATGGAAGGTGTGATGGTTCATTGATTTGTGGGTCTTTCGAACATGAATTAGAATCACCTGGTGCAGAACAACCACACCTTCCCCATGAGTTCCACTGTTCTTCATTTCCTTCTTCTCCGTTCCTCGGTCCTCTCGTCCGCACCTGCCGCCACACGTCCGGCGCCTGTAAGCGCCGACGCACCGAGTGGCAGAGCAGCTGTAGCCGAAAGAGCTGAGGTGCCTGGACGAAGTCGCAGCAGTGGAGCAAGACCACGTCGTGGCCCAACATGACGCCATGGCCGGAGGAAGGCGTTTTAGGCGTGGCGGTTTTGGGGGGCCCCTGGGTCTCCGCGTGGACACCGCTGCTTGGATGAGGGGGGGATGGATGGGGTTGGAGTGCGGCGCTGCGGTTGCGGTGTTGTTGGGAGCTGCTGGAGCGTGCTGAGAAGGCGGATTGAGATGGTCTTGGAGGTGCAAAGGGGCACTCACTTAAGAGTGGGCATTGTTTGATCTGGCGGTCGTCGAGATCTTCAGTGTCTCGCTCGGTTTGTGCGGTTTGTGTGCGTGCCCTCTAGCCAGGGCGGCTAGGATCGGCTAGGCTTTTGAAGAGTTGGGTTGCTGGGCGTGGATCCCATCTACAATTCATCAATTGAGGCAAACCTGATGGGGTTGTAACCACCAACAATTAGCCTGTTCTTTGGGCACCTCAGAATGGCAAAGTATATAAATGGCTTTTCGGATGGGCCCAACTCTTCATGGACAAACAAGCACATAGATGAGGCCAAGCCAAAGGAAAAGAACTGAGGGCATTTACAGTTTTCGAGGTAATCCTCACCTGAAATGTCTGTCAGTTTGTGCCATGTAGATGCTGCATCTAGACGGAATGCCATTTGAACCGTCTGCTCGGCTTTCCCCCCTTGGGTTGTTCATTCAGGTTGCTCGACTTTGAGGCTGGCACGACTGCTTCTGTTCGTTGGGAAGGGCATCCGACTAACATCCGGCCTTCGTTGGCTCCATCCTTACGTCCGGTGTGCATTTCCTTGTGTGCGTGTGGCGTCTCAAAACCAACGAAGCCTCCGGTGGAATCGCCTGGACCTACGTCCGTCTGAGGAAGAATGAGTGAATGAGTGAATGAGTGCTAGAATTCGGCCAAAAAACATCATGAAACTAGATTGCACGGAAAGATGGAAAGCTTCAATCAGTCACTCCACGTCACTCCAGCAAATCATTCCAGTTGGAATGGGCAACACATGTGCTCCGGCGTTCCAACTTCGGACATCGCCAGCGACCAACCCCCTGGACCCCTCCAATCCCCAAAATACCAGGACAGGTTGAACAACCTAAGAGAAACCAGCCCAGGACGGTTCCCTAGTACAGTCGGTCTTAGGTCACTTCACCTCTCTTGGTCGTTCATCAAAGACCCAAATCCAGCCCTTCGGAGGGCTCGTGCCAGGTGGTTGCTGGTCCTTTCTGATTCCCGATGTCCACCCACATGCGGGCTCACAGAAACCTGGAAGGCACCCTGTCCAGTCCAAAGGTTCCTTTAGCAAGCCATGGTTTTCAGGCTTCAGACTTAAGTCTGCACCTAAGCTGATTGCTACCCCATGCAGTGATCAGGAGAAGAGGGATGGCACGACCAAAATCGGTCTTGCTCGGAAGACCTTGCCATCCCCTTTCCATGGTGAAATTGAGTCAGTGTGAGCCATGTTTGGGCTTGAATGGCTATATTTAACATAGAGAGTGTGCGATCCAACAACCTCTCCAATGATCATCGTGATCCAACAACTGTGTATATAAAAATATATAGAAAGAGTGTGTGTGTGTGTGCGTGATCCAGAGTTAAGGGGCTTTGGACATCTTTGGACCATGCCGCTGCTCACCATCCGGAACCCTCCAAAAGAGTCCTCACGAGGACTGAGGACTCCACGTAGTTGGCTGCTGCACCGAAGAGACAGCAAACGGCAATCTGAACCTCAGCCGGTCAAGTCATCCATCATCCGGAGAAAAAAACAGGAGAGAAGTAGCCATAACACTTATAGATTTCGTGGTCAGATCTGAGTGCTTTTAAGTGTTACTGTCTGCCTGTCGTGTGAAATGTCATCCACACAATCGTGGGCATGGCCCCCCTCATGGCTTTCTTGATGGGTAAGGTCATGTGGATCCATTCGGCTTTGGGAATTCCATCCATCCATTCATTCCATTCCATGAGCAACTGGTTTTTGCTTCTTTCGTTCGCCTAGTGGGGCGGTCCAAAAAGCCCCTCACATCCACACCACAAACAGGCCGGTCCACTCAGTCCAATCACTCCCAAATCCAACGAATTCGCTTCTGAAGAGCCATCCAAGTGGTGCCACAGCGTGAGAAGGTCACCACAAAGACCTACGACCGAGGCTGCCAGACTCGGTCGCGAGATTGGGGAGACCAAGGGCTGGATGATGGCCTTGGAGATGGCCTTGGATGGCCTGGTTGGAGATGGCCTTGGATGGTTCAGATGGAAACTCAACCAAACATTCACTCAAAAACATCGACCCTTCAGGTCGATTGGTCCCTGGTCCCTGGTTCTTGGTGTTCGTGACCTATTGATTCCACTGGTTGCTTCGGTCACGGTCACCCTCCAAACAGGTCGGATGGGACTCCGGTCAAGAAGCTGGTCGACTTGAAAGAACAAAACAGTTTGCTGCTTCGAAACAGAAAACCGGCCATCTCTCTTGGCTCTCATGGCCGTTTTTGGGATCCAGGTTCCACAGACGATGCCTCAAGAAAACACTTAGATCCCATACCCACACTGCGGCCACGCCCAATAAAAATGGCCATTCCAACACGCCGTGCACCGCGTAACCGCGGCTGCTGAGTTACAGTGAGGCTCAGACGTCGTCGGGCTGAGATCGGAAGACTTCCCGCAGCGCCAGGAACCTGCGGAGGGGTCGGACGTTCTGGTGCACCAACCAGCGACGTTGGAGGATTCTTCGGGAACTCTTTTTCCACCCAAAATGGTGGTTTTTTAAGTTATGGTCTGCCATTCGATTCTCAAGTGGGTTTCCTGGTTATCCTCCCGCTCGTCTTCACTATAAAATTGGCCCGTCGCCAAACAAAAAGTAGGCATCGGGTGCGCTGGCTGAATCTGGGGAATGAACCCACGTCACTACTCATGTCATAGGTCATAGGCGTGTCTGGAGAGCAAACCTTGGCCCATATTGGCCCATCCTCATACGAATGATTCATGATTCAATGCACATACATTCATGTGTTAATCCCAGCGCCTGTCATGACTACAGACTCCAAAACGTGAATGCCCCCTGAACAGTCAACCATTCTGTTTGTTTGAGCGAGGTGTTCACCAGGGAGCCGCCAGGTGTTGTCCAACCCACTGCCAAACCCCACGCCCCATAGCGCCCTAAGTCTCGGCGCACGTGGAGGCCGGGTCGACGCGGCAGAGCTGTGTGGCCACCGTGAGGGCTTCCGCATGGCGGTGGAGTCCTGGGAAGGATGTCGCTCCAAAACAGTTCCCAACGGTTCCAAAGCGGGTGCATCTCGGCGGCGCTTGGCTGTGGGCAGGCGACATCTATGCAGTGGTGTGTGGATGACATGCGCATAGGAGAACTTCAGAACAAGCAGTGGTTCAAAGCGATGCCAAGGCAACTCTTACTCCGATCAACCGGAAGGCATTGGCAAATAGTGGCCCTGCAGAAACATCACCAACAAAGGTATCACTATGAAATTCAGTGAGATAATCAAATACTTTTCCGGACTTAGTCCTTATGACCATGGGATTGAGGGGGGTGCCGCACTCACCTACTAACCCACAAGTGAGGAGTTGCCCTCACAAATGCTCGCACAACTACTCGTGAACTATGACGACCATAATATAAATCGATCTGTATCTCTCACATTATCTCACGTTGTACCCATTGTTGAGGCTTCCATCCCCAAGCTCCGCACCCGCCATGTCAACTGGAAGAAACACGAACTTCGCTGCCCGCAACTCTTTGGTCGACCCAGCGATGGACAGCACTGCCCGCAGCCTTCCAAGCACCGGCAAGTGAGTGCCAAGCCTTGGCGAAACCGGACAGCGTCCGAAGTCGAAGAATAGAAGATAATAGAAGGATCCTCCTATCCAAGAAGCTCCCAAATAGATAGTGGCACGGTTGTCCCCATACATTCTGCACCTGGAAATCTACATGGTCCATCTCTTTGGGGATGCCCTTTTTGGGTACCACGATTCCTATATAAATGGCTTTCAATCTTGCCCCCGGTTTTCCCATAGAAACCCTCAGACTACGACCCACGGTCTCCGCGACGGACGGCGTCAGTGGAGGAGCGCACGCACAACACCCACCCCCGAGGATGCGAAACAACCATGGCTTCTCAATGGTCTTGATACATCTTGAATACCAAGGATTTTTTTACTTAAGGTTGATGGCAAAGAACTAAGAACCAATATGTCTTACTTAATGCGTTTTTTTAAACTGGTCCTTGAAATCAAACCAGGACACGTCTTTTGGAGTGTCTCTCTTTTGCCTCGGAGTGCCGTGTCCAGCTCGAGCTCACGCTGAGGCGCCCCGCAATTGACTTCTTCCGGAGCAATCTCCAAGGCCTGGTTTGATCCGATCCGACCGACCGGAGGGCAGCCGGCAGGTTCCTCTGCGGAAACCCAAAAAAAAAAGGCCTTGGTGGTGGTGGCTGGGAGAAACATCCTTTGGAAGAATTGGACAAAACCTCAAACCAACCTGTTGCTCTGCCAGGGGGTCCATGCTCTGAATCATGTTTCTTGTTATGATCCGGCACTTGCCCTGGAAACCGACCTCCCGCCATCCAACATGCCTGTCGCAAGAGCTGTAGAGCTTCCGCCAACTTCTTCTCCTGCGTCCCGTGGGAAACTTCGGGCAAGCAAATGGACCGAAGCCAGCAAAGAACTCCTTTCCAGGTGAAAGCGGAACAAGCTTGCCACTCTCAACTCTCATGTGAACACCGCCACATGCCCAAGATCAAATCGTAAGAAAGCATACTGCAATGCTGCAACCAAGTGACGCTGCACGCCCCTGTGACCGGAACAACGCTCGCTGCTGGCAACGCGTGCGTCATATCGCTCCTCTGCCAGCAGGGCTGCCAAGTGGAAGCGAGCCTGAAAAGGCGGGGCTTGGTGGCTATTGCTACGTCCAAATGTATTTCCAAGTGGTGCTACAAGGATCTTAAAGGTACTTTGCAACTACAAGTGACACAAATTTGTGGTTGGCGCTGGTGATAATGGTCCATGATTGAAATTGTTTCGTCTGCTGACGACCATCTTCGACGTCTCACTGCTCGAAGGGTGGCCAGGCGGCACAGTGACAAAGCCGGAGGCGGTGCGTTGCAGTGCCGCCCATACGAAGGATTGGTCGATTTTTGTTGGACCAATTCTGCACACATGAAAACTTTTGGTTGGCAAACAGTGGCACAAAAGAGATTTGCATAGACTCTGCCAAATTGATTGTGGGTTTGGAGGACATGTATTTTTCCAACTGTTTTCAAGATTGGGGGCACTGGTGCAGTGCCGATAGGCAGCCTCCCTTTATACTCCACCCAAAAGCGCGCGAGCATTGGACATGGCGGCCTCCACGCGCAGAGGTTCCAGACCGATCGCCTTGCCGAAAGGTGCGAGGGCAAAAATTCCAAATGTCAACATGCTTCAAGTATTGTCAAGTATCCGACTCTCTCCCACACAAGAAGGACGAGTACTGTACTAAAAGAACAACGAACACGTTGATCCAAGCAAAAAAGAAAAAATCATGCAAACATCATGCTCCAAAGTGTTTGTCTGTGTTTCCTGGCCTGTGGTATGTGAACCCCACCATATCCAACATGTCTTAGTGAAAAGTTATTTCAGGGTCTAGATCCGATTGGTCTTTCTGCCCTCGATCAGGACAGTGGGCTTTCCCAAATGTCAAAGTCACTGCTGCCGGATCCCCTCTCCAAACCACCTGATGCTGAAGAAGAAGTGTCAAAATCATTTTCTCACATCAAGTGCTGTGCTGGAAAGCTTAATACCTGGACCCTCCAAGGGGTGTCCTGGCTGGACTACCCCACACTACCTAGGATGGCTTCCAGACTGGGCACCCCGACAGGAGGGTCCTGGTAGATTACTATGTCGTACTGCAGGGTTTATGAAAGCCACTTTCCTCACATCGTAAGCTGGATCCGCGGCAGGAAATCCAAAGCGTGCCTCTCGGAGGTGCAGCTCCCGTTCAGCCACCTCCTGGTGAAGGACCGGCGAGGTCCGGTGTGATGAAAATGGGGGGGTCGTCCTGTCATCCGGATTTGCTGTTCAGGAAAATGGAATAAAGGTGAAATATGGTAAAATCATACTCTCCAGGTTTGGGGATTTTACCCACAGGGAAACATATGAAACATAAAATATATATTATCACCTGATCATACCTGATCCGCAAAACCAAGGTCGTTGATTCATGTTGCGTTCCGGACCGTCTATTTTGGTGAAGTCCGATCTGCTCACAGATCGCCCCAACTGGGAACCCGGAGTTCGACGCAGCTGGTGGACGCGGACGGCGGACGGCGGAGGCCGAAGGGGTGAACCGCAAGAAATGCCGGGTCCGGAGGCCGGTGGAGTGTGTGCGACAGCCGAGGTGGAGTTAACTGGAGTCTTCACGGAGCTGTTGGGCCTCAACACCCTGGACATCTTGAAACAAACCCGTCCAACTTCGCCACAGGTGATGTTGTTGGGGGGAGAGAGGAACGGCGAAGTCTTCCGTGAAGCTGCGAACGATTTTTTGATGCAACTAGCGAAAAAGGACAAAATCAAGTTACACTCATGCATGGGTTGATCATGGACCATCCTCTGAAATCTCCTACGGCTGAGATATTCAGAACACAGATTCACTAAGTGAACAATCCACGCAAAGCACGTCCATTTTGCACATCCGAGCACTCTTGAACCAGAAATTCCAATCAACCCCCCCCAAACAAGATGATGCGGTGACTCCCATAGGAATTCCCCTTTTTCCCCACCACCAACTTCTTCTCCTCCGCTAGAAGGGGCGCTTTCGGGCTTCGCTTCTCGCTTGGACGACCGGCGACCGGTGTGCTTCGCGCCTCCGTGGCACACGAGAGGTTGACGCCTCGATGTCCCGAGCGTGGCGCGCGGCGTGAAGCGTGAAGCGTGTTGGAGACCGAGGTGGACCGGCAGGGTGGAAGATCTCCTGGGTGAATGACAATGCAAACCCTATACCAGGACCCACGGTCGGGGTGAATAGACAACCCTTAAGCTCTTAAGGGGCTATTAACCCCAAACAGGGGTCCTGGTACAAGAAATTCGATTATATTGTTGGATGTGGGTGAGATTGGGTGAGTGTTCTATTTTTGTTTGCTGACGCGACACTCACGGGACGCCGCAAAGCAGTGACCCGAAAACGGGGCATTGATTTTCGCGGAGAAAACTAACCTCAATGACTTGCATCTCTTTCCACAATGCTGCAGGATTGGGTAGCACAATGCGGTGGGGTCCTTTTACAGACCTCAAAGAATATTCAAGATGAGGATCATGAGATGATGTTTGTAGGTTTGCCATGTTTGCCCTAACTATTTAATTAGCTTTGCCAACCACACCCCGCTTGAAAAAGCTGCACGTTTGTGTTCCACCTCCCGAGGTTTACTGGATCGACGGCACATCCCCCGCCAAAATCAATATAGAGAGCTCCGGCCAACTGAACTTGTACTTGCCAATTCCTAATTAGCATGCATGACGCTTCTTTCATGACCAGTATTAGACGAACGGAAGCCCCGGAAGCTGTCTCACATCAGGTCCCGCCCTCCCGACTGTTCATCGTCAAATCCCGAACGCCCAACTCCATGACTCATATGACTCCCAGAATCGATTCGTTTTAAGATGTTTTTTTCAGGGAACAAAAAAGAGCACAGTTTGGGGGAACGAAAGAGCACAAGGGTGTCCTGCAGATGTTCAAACCAATGTCATTGACCAGTTCGTGGTCCGTCGTCATGCTCCACGGCACCGACTTCCCCAGGTCGCCCCCCGGTCTTCGAAGGCGAAGCGACGTAAGGCGTACTCCAAGGAGTGGTGGAGGTGCCGGCCTCGGGACGCGGGTTGGTAGCAAGCGAACATGAGCAGAATAGACTACTTAGACATGGTCAAGCTATGTCAGACTGTCAACGGATTAGGGGTCCGTTTTTGGTGATCCACAGCCACACTGATGAAATATAGGATGAAAGTGGCAATGCTGAGGGCATCCAAGGTAAATAGAGTTTGCTGGTGAGGAGTGCCCATACTATACTATAGCAATTCGCTAGCCTACTAACTACTAGTAACCACATTCGGATCTCTTGGCCAAGTGCTCGCATTGGCAGGATTTTGATCCCAAACACACTCCAGGATTTTGAGATCCACAAGGACAAACTGAATTGGAGGAGTGGAGCACGTACATGCCCAGCCATACCGACCCCCCCCCACACGCCTCGCGAGCGCCGGCGCAGCAACTTCTGCAGTGCCTCCTGCGAGATCTCCCAGGCCCTGGCCCTCGCGCCGTCGCGGAGGCAGGTCTCAGCGCGGTGGCAGGTCTCGCGGGAGCGAGAGAAGAAGGAAACGGGAGGATGTCTGAGACATTTGTGTTCTTGAGTATCAGGTTTCTGCGGAATTGTGGAGATTTCTCCTGCAAAAGTTAGCTTTGAAGAAGACCATTTAGGAAGAAATGGATGGTTTTCCAGTGAAATCACTGTATCAGAAGTTCTTTGAAGGGTTGTCAGCGGATTTGCCCCGGTTGTTCCTGGAAATCCTTCAACATTCCCCAAGTCACTTTTCTGGGGGTTACTGCGCTGTGTTTCCGGCAGCTATTTTGGTCTCACGGCCGGGAGTGGTGATTTAGTGATTGACAAAAGCTGGAGGGTGCAAGAAGGAGACATGCCTTCCCCTTTGAGATATGATGAGTTGCAAATGTTCTGAGGTGCTGCGGAAATTTCTTTCATTCCACAGATGTCCTCTCATTGCCCAAAGTTTCCATCAACTTGGAAGATGACAGGACTCTTCATCTAAAGAGTACATAGGTATCACCTTGTGGTCTGCAAAAAGCAGTGACCCTAAAACCAAACCACACAAGCATCGAGTTGCTCTACAGACCAAAACTATCACACAAAAACTCAATCTTCCCATAGTGCGTCATAATAATCCCCCTGCCTGCCTACAAAATCCTGCAAAATAGTCATCGTTCATTAACGAAACATTCAAACACACCACATCCCCGTGTGCAGCTCCGCCGACACACGCCAGGTTGACGCTCTGCTCCAGTTGCGCCACGGATGGCAGGTCCTCGTCTGAAGCGCAGCTCAAGGCGGTGCGCCAAAAGGCAACGTCTTGGTTTGGGGGTGTCAAGGGTTGACTAAATTAAACTATAGTTATAAAGGCTCGCTATATTGACTATATTGATGTAATATGAAATGAAATGTGCTATATGTTCTACTGTTAAACTCTTTCAAACATGTCTAGACTATACTTGTTGACTATATTGGCTAATTAAGAGCCCGGTATGGAGATGTATGCAATAATTATTGTGGTGGTGGACTTTGATTCATCAACAATCAACATTGCCTCCCACTCTTGAATCCTTAATTAGCCCTAGTGTGTGCCCCGCCCATGTCAGTGCTGTTGGAAGAAATCCCGGATGGTATAGAATTAGCTTAGTAGATTCTTCCTTGTGGCCAAGTATATATAGTAGAGATGACTACCAACCACCAATGCCGACCCGCCTCAGAAAAGAATATGACTAACCAAAATATGAACAGTCCATTCTTGTTGGTGTTGAACAGCCCATTTTCCTTGGCAATGGTGTTGATTGGATTTCTTCTTTGAGGACTGTCTGCGTGTCCAGTTGATTGACCTCTTCGCGGTTTCCGCCGCGGCGGCCGTGAGCTGCCTCCCGGCGGCCGCTGGCCGCGGGGGCGCGGCGGACGGCGCACTTGCGTCTGCAAGAGGCCTGGAGCATCAAAGGCAGAAGGGCTTCAGCGTGTGTGTAGTCTTTCCTGGATCTATCTGGCCTTGTGATGACCCAAGCCTGAATGTCAGTGGTGCCCCAAGGGAGACATGTAAGTGATCAATAGCTGCGCTTTAAACAAAATGGGACAGGATGATCATCGATACGCTTGCAAAAACCTACATTGAAACAGGACGCTTGCAAAACTAACTTTCTCTGAAACCCACGGTGGTTCTGTATAGGGTTCTATGTTTGTTTTCAGGGGTGAGTGGGACCCCTGTTGATTTGCAGGTGGATATAAACATCTGCCACCCCCTGCCAGGCGACAAAGAACCATCGCCACCCCAAGTCTTTGTTACAAAGCATCTTGGTGGTTGTGTGACCGGATGATTTTACATTCTTTCCAAATGCATTTCATAGCAATAGTCCCCCCTAACCTGATAGCAATGGCCTCCAACCTAAACCTAATAGCGATGGTCTCCAACCTTGGAGGCCATCGCTATTAGCCATGGCATCCACCTGCCCAGTCTATTTTGCCTTGACAGTGTTGCAGACATACCCCCCACGTTCCCGCTCCGCCACAGCCTGGCATTGCCATGCATTGGCCTGCTGAAGCAAGGAGTCCGCGCCAACGTTGGAGCTGTTGGAGTCCATACTGGAACTTTAGCACGGGTGAACACGTCTTTTTGATCGACTTGGAAGACCCCAGTGCCACTTCTTTGCAGGGTCCTGGGCCTTGTTTTTTTTGTCGGTGGCCTTTCCAGAACGACCTAGGACCTAGGCAAAGTGGATGAAGACTCAGGTGGGCATTGCACTTGGCATCACTTGGCTATGACTCAATGCCATCGAATGATGCCACTCAAACCCCACCAGCAATATAGAATTGAAGCATCTGCACTGCTTGACAAGAACTGCTTCTTGAGCAAGCAGTGTTTCAGCTAAAAAACACTTGGTGGTTGCTCATTCGAACAACCTGGACATGCCAGGTGCCTGGTGAAAGTCAGCGCAGTCTAAAAACCCGGGGGCCCGCACCCCTGCCAGGCTGCGACCACAGGCGGCGACGGCCTCAGCCTTTGGCGCGACAGCCTCGGGTGCCGGAGGTGTTTGCTGCTGAGTCGCAGCGTCCTGCACGGGAGCTGAGTCCAAGGCTTAGATTGTGAGGTAGCAAGCCCGAGGTACATACGAGATCATCGATCGTATGATGAAAAGATCTACGATTACTGAGGATACGGTATCGAGGTCACTGATGACGTTGGATGATTTGGGTGGAAGATCGGCGTAGCTCGCACGACACCACACCGGAGCGTCCGAACGGAACGCACCCGAAAAGCGCGCCGTAGGGATGCAACATGGCGTGCGGAGAAAGGACCTGCAACATGGCACAGTGACAGGCTGCCTCAAAGACGTCCCCCGTCCCAACTCCACCACAACTATGCAGCCTGATTGTTGTGTTCCTGTATCATGCACCCTGTTGTCTGAAAGGCCCTAGAATCAAACACAATGCTGCCAAATGCTGCCCCTTCATCCATGGCCCTTCTATATTATGCCATCCTCATTTGGAATGTGGAGCTTTTGCTTCGGATCCGTTCCGCATGTCACGCCACACGCCACGTATATAAGGATGTCGGTTCCAGCTTCAGTGGTGGCCGTGGCGTGGTCCCGACTCTCTTCACCACCCGGAAGCGAGCGATGACCGGACCGGACCACCGACCGCGCTGCTCCGACCGCCTCTCCCAACCACATGACATCGCCATGGGACGGTGGAAGCGGAGATCCGAACGGGAGGTCTGCAGCGGAAGCGATGTCGCGCATGCCGTGAGGTGGTCTGGACCCGAACCAAACACCGTCTGACCCACCCATTCTCAACGTGTCCGACACGAGGGGATCGGGTGGAAAGCGTTTCACCGAAGCCGTTTTGTTGCGTCGTGGCAGGTTTGACGAGATGGTTGGAAGGTATTTGGAACATGTTTGAACCAGGTTTGACGAATCTCTCCTTTTTACGAGGGAACCTGTAACTTGGAGGCCATGCTTCCACTTGCTTGAGAGAACAACGAAGGCTGACGGGCGGCATCCGGTGCAGTCAATCGAACAGAATACAGCATATGCCACTTGCAGAAGATAAACGAGAATTGCATGTAAAAGCATATATTAACTATACAAGGTTGCCATTTTACAGATGCGCTCGGAGTGTGCCTGAAATCCATTGACAACATGGGCAAGCTGAAAACTCAAAAGACTCTCTGGCACCCTCTCACACCCATGCATGTCATGCATGCACCCTCTAGTGAACATACCAGAAGTGCGGAGCCGTAGTAATACAGCCCGAAACATCGGAACTTTGACCTTCTAAGATCGCTGCCTAGCTACGCTCATGTCATCGACCCTAGGGAACGTTGTTGCACTGAGACTGACTAAATGGGGTGTTTTTTGAGTAGGAGGCCCCTTCCAACATAGGGGTCGTAGTCGACTGTTGTGTTCTTCCAACCAGGTCTTTGGGAGGTATGCCTAAATTCAACACACGCCTAAATCTTCCTTTACAACGCTTTGGGGGAGTTTGGCCTTGACCATCTTTGACCCGCACCCCCCCATGTTCTTCGTCGCGCGATGCTGGGTCCACTTTTGCGAAACTCAGGGACCGCGCCGCAGAAAACGCCCAAAGACCACGTCGCCCGGTGCCCGTGACTTTGACTTTGCAACTTTGTAACCTCAAAACCTTGTTCCGCCTCCAGGCATCCTGCGGAAACTTACACGTTCCGTGCTATCTGCTTCCCGACGGCCGACTGTGGCAAAATGTTGCTACCCTGTGAGAATGGTTCATGAACATCTAGCCTAAGGATCAAGGACCCTCAGTTCGGTGAAGGTTTGGTTCAGGTCCAAACCCCCCTGCGTTCTGCAGGGTCAAAACCCTCCAGAAGTGGTCGGGTCCAATGATCCTTAGGGTAGTAAGTATGGGGTATCCCAGACACTCCATGTATGCCATATATGCCTACATTGGGGTGGTTTCAGGGGTCAATGTAGGTAAATATGCCATACATGGAGTGTTTGGGTATGGGGTACCGAGTATGTCCTAACATGGACCGTCGGATCGGATCCAACAAATTGTTTGTCCGCCTTTAGGACCGTCAAGTTCTCCCATTCAAAAACTCGAAACGAGCACTCTTTTGTTGAGGTGCGTTGTTCCCTCGATTCACGCAATGTTATATGGTTTACATATGTTTGCACTCAAAAAAGCATGGACTCATTCGTTGAAACCTTCAAAGGTCAAATGTTCGTTCACTATCTGACTACTGTAGCTCCAAAAACACACTCATTGGGCGCATCGATCTTGTGAACTTCTTCTCGCTAGCGACCCCCGCTACTGGTGAGACGACTGCCACATGTCAGAAGCCATTTTGCTCGATCTCCACATAGTGGCGCCTCAACAAAGCCGGAAAGTCCGCTGGGGGGTCGCGCGTAATATATAATTGTATAGTATATAATTGGGTATATATATTGTGCATTTATAGTAAGATTGCAAGATTTCAATGTCTTTTCCTTGGAAGGAGGGTGATACAAAAAAAGAGAACGAACACCTAGGAAAAAGTCACACAAGTCGTCGCCCTGTTTAGAGAGAGGGGGGGAACCTGCGTCACACAGTTCAGCTTCGCAACATTTTGGCTTTGCCCGACCGAAAAGGCTGGTCAGTTGCAGAAATGCACGACAAAACAACCCACTCACTATGACTATAAACCCACAAAAAGTGGGAAACACATCAAGAAAGCGGTGAAAGGAGTCACCTGAAACTGGGAGCTTCCCAGCTCACAACCTCTCACGTCCTTCGTCGGATTGCAGTGCTCCACAACTTCAGGGGGGCCAACCTGTCCGTCTGCTGTCCTCTTCTCCCCTCTGGCTGCGCACATCATCAGCATGAAGCCGGCGCAGATGTTGAAGAGAGAACCCTGCAGGACCGAGGGCGCTTTTTCAGTAAGGGTCTGATCTGACAGAGCAGGTACGATTCATACATGAACTCCGCAGCCCAATGAGCCCCGCTCCCAAAAGCTATCAGGGTGCATGCTGTGGCTCGCTATTGGCTCGCTGTAGAAAGCATCATGAAGACTACACCATGAAATATCAGAAACCTCTGCGGTGCCCTAAAACCCGTGGCGCTTTCCGAATCGTGGCCACAAGCCATGTCGCAACGGGTCTTGCTTACCGCATAAACCCACGTCGCTTTGCCGCCCGGAAAACATGTCAGCGCACATTGGGGAAAACAATGCCACACCCGGCACTGACACCGCACCTGTTTGGTGGGTGGTTTCAACTCACGTCAACATGTTGATGTTTCTTTTGGATGTGCGGACAGGCAGGGGGTGCCTCGCGTGCCGGAGTGGCTTGGTTTCAGAAAAGAACCACCGCGAAGCCGAACACGAAGAGAAACACCCATCGAATCCGCTCCGAATCCGCTCCGAATCCGCGACGAAATCGGCGACGAAATCGGAGTCATCGTGGATGATCCGGAGGGGCATACCTGGATCTTCCAACTATGTGACACATGTCTGCCGCCCTTCATCCATACAAATCACCCAAGTTAGGCCGATGTAACTGCGGCATAGTTGGAAGATCCCGGTCGATGGCGCCATGTCTCACCAGATCGATGTATCCAACCCGCGGTGTTCCACCGCTCTCCTGGACACTCATGATGCGGGCGTTGGAGCTGACGTCCCCACTGAAGCTGATCTTCGTGAAGGTCGAGCCCATCACTTGGACTGCCTGGTGTAGGGAAAGATAGGAAAGGAGGGCAATCAATTCAAGGAGAGGTGTAGTAGCTTAGTAGCTGGAGCACCTTCAGAATTGCCTTGGAGGCAACTTCTTGGCGTGATACCACCAAAAAATGCAAAAAACGGAGAGCCGACCATCTACCTTTAGCACGAATCTATCTATATATCTTCTACATTCTTCTACTGTCAGGGCTGCGCCGCGCCAAACACTTCTGCAGCTCGGGAAAACCGCCTTCTGCTGGAGGGCTTCCGCCATGCGCAGGGGCACCGCACTTCGCAGAATGAAGCCACGAGGATCACGGGACACGAAGGAAGGCATCTCCTCTGGATCGAGGATGATCGAAGACTCCCTAGAGTGACCTAAAAGTGAAGAAAACGGAGGCGAAAAGGTCTCCAAGAATTGGCACCTACCCTCCGAAAACAGACTTCTGGAGTGCGACAGCTCAGCTGTGCGAGAGCTCCGGCGCCCCATCTATAGATCGGCGATCCGAGTCTTTGGTAGTAAGTTGAACCGAACCTCGACAAGGAATCATCGATTTTTTCCGTTGAACCGCGCAAAACTAGACCTTCAATGACTTTTAACTTTAAAAGGCCTTTCTTATTCATGGCGCATCGAATGCCAAACTCTTCAGCTCGTTCTTCATCTCTTCCCTGGGCAGGCTGTCCTCCATGACGCGCATCACCAGATCTGAGCCATCTGAGCCCATGCTGTTGCCCATCTCCAAGCCACCCCCACAGCTCCCGCAGCAGCTGCCACAGCTGCTTCCACCACAGCCGGGGCAGCCCATCTGGTTCGGCAGGCTCCCACAACCACAGCCACAGCCTCCGCAGCCACAGCGGCCCATGCCACCCATGCAGCCACCGCAGCCACCGCAGCCACCACAACCACCGCAGCCACAGCCACAGCAGCCACAGCCATTCATCGGCATGGAGCCCATGGAGCCCATCCCGCAGTTGTTCATGCCCATACTGCTCATGCCGCCACAGCTGCCCATGTTGCCCATCCTCGAAGCAACAGCAACTGGTCCAGCCGAAGTACCGGACACAGCAGCTACAGAGATGCCTAGTAGCCTCCATGTCACACGTGGCTAGTCCACCCTTCAGCTCCAAGGACGCCATCTCTACCCTCTCTACTCATGAAGAATGGTCGCCATCTACAAGCGCTGCACAGTACTTTCCAAGAGCTCCTGAATATATGCTTGCTACTCCGCCACTCAGCAGTTGTGTCTATTGATCCTTTCCACCTTCCTTCTTTCCACATCAAAGACCGGCCCCAACCGAACGGGCAGAGCTCCGGACATGTTCCCCATCATCGCCGCCATGTTCCCCATCCTCGGGAGGACGGCACCCGGAGGGAGGGCAGGCACATGACAGCAGGATCCACGAGGTGCAAGGGTGAGGATTAGGTCAGAAACGGCGACATGCTTGGACGGTGGTTGGAAGGTCGGCGAGCATGGTGAAAAACCACAGTCGAAAGACGATGGTCCTACAATGGTCGGCTTGTGATCCTCTCGCGGGGAAAAAATCGCCAGGCTCGACCCTGGGAGAAACATATCTGATCTGAGCTTCCCGGCATGTTCCCCATGCCTCAGACAGCACTCGGACACATCTCACACATCTCCGTGTTCAGCTCAGCTAGGCCTCTGCTATGCCATTGGCTCCTATGCTCTTCCCTCGGCCGCCCGGCCGTTGATGTCCGGCTCGCTGTTCTGCCGCGCAGGTCCGCCACGGAGGGGCGGTGCCTGGGGTGGAGCCACAAAGGTGCTGTGGCTAACTACTGCTGCAGCATTCATCCTCATTCGCCGAGGTCATGATTCGAAAGACCATCCTTCACCGCAATTGGCAATATAACTAATATAACATATAATATATACAAAAAGGGCGCAGTAAAACCAACGCTGCGGCCTATGCATACCAGAGTGAGGTGCCAGCCTACTGCATACTAAAGTTACTAAAGTGGATTCCACAAGGAGAGGGGGTCGAGCATCCACAAACAATTCTCCTTGAGCAACTTGTCATACGAGTGGCTTGGCCCGATGCTTCGCAAGTGAAATCCGGTGACAGAGCACCGCAC